GGAGACCTGAATGGAAATAAGAAAACCCATGAGATTGAGAGTGGGCCCCACAATAGGTATCCATTATCCATATTCAAGGAGATGGACACAAATATTTCTAGGCTTTGTCAAAATGGAAAGTGGCTTACAGAGTCAGGATGAAATTCAAACTTATATTAGCAAAGTATAGAGCTTATTGATATATTTTAAAATGAAAGCCATGACAAAATGACAATCCACAAGTGACAATGGTAGGTAGGGATTTGGGAGAGACTCCATAATATCAAAATTAACCTCATTTTGCGGGGAAAAGAGAGAGCAGACTGTTACTGTGTCTATATAGAAAGAAGTAGACATAAGAGACTCCATTTCGTTCTGTATTTGAGATGCTGTTAATCTGTGACCCTACCCCCAACCTTGTCCTTGCAAGAGACTTGTGCTGTGGTGGCTCAAGGTTTAACGGATTTGCGGCTGTGCAGGGTGTGCTTTGTTAAACAAGTGCCTGAAGGCAGTATGCTTGTGAAAAGTCATCACCATTCTCTTAATCTCAAGTACCCAGGGACACATACACGGCCAAAGGTCGCAGGGACCTCTGCCTAGGAAAGCTAGGTATTGTCCAAGGTTTCTCCCCATGTGATAGTCTGAAATATGGCCTCGTGGGAAGGGAAAGACCTGATCATCCCCCAGCCTGACACCCGTGAAAGGTCTGTGCTGAGGAGGACTAGTACAAGAGGAAAGAAGGCCTCTTGGCAGTTGAGATAGAGAAAAGCATCTGTCTCCTGCCCGTGCCTGGGCAATGGAACATCTTGGTGTAAAACCCGATTGTATGATCTGTTTACTGAGAAAGGAGAAAACCACCTTAGGGCGAAAGGTGGGACTTGCTAGTGCAATGCTGCTCTTTATGCACTAAAAAGGTTTATGGAGATGTTTACATATGCATATCAAGGCACAGCACTTTCCTTAAACTTATGTCACAGAGATCTTTATTCACATGTCTTACTGCTGACCTTCTCCCTACATGATCCTATTATCCTGCCACTTCCCTTTTTCTAAATGGTAAAGATAATGATCAATAAATACTGAGGGAACTCAGAGACTGGTGCAGGCGTGGGTCCTCTGCCGGTCCCCTGGGCCCACTTTTTCTTTCTCTATACTTTGTCTCTGTGTCTCATTTCTTCTCTCAAGTCTCTCGTTCCACCTAACCAGAAACGCCCACGGGTGTGGAGGCGCAGGTCATCCCTTCACATTTTAAGTGAAACTTCTACATGTTGCTACAGTAAGGGAACGGAAGCCAACATTATGCTGGAATATATTAATTGTCATGGGATAAACAGGCAGGACATGATGCTACACTTATTAGTCACTTCTATTGATAATATTTGTGAAGGTTAATTTTTGTGTCAATTTGACTGGGCCATGGGGTGCCCAGATATTTGGTTAAACATTTTTTTCTCAGTGTGTCTCTGAGGACGTTTCTGGATGAGATTGACATTTGAATTGGTAAACTGAGTAAAGCAGATTGCTCTCCCCAGTGTGAGTGGGCCTCATCCAACCCACAGAAGGCTTGAATAGAATGAAAGGCTAGAAAGAAGTCTTTCTGCTTCATTGTCTTTGAGCTGGGACATCAGTCTTCTGCTTTATGCCTTGGACTTGGTCGTGAACTATATTCGACTCTCCTGGGTCTACTCAGGAGTAGACCTTGGACTTCTCTGCTTTCATAATCATATGAACCAATGCACATCTCTCTCTCTCTCTCTCTTTGTGTGTGTGTGTGTGTGTGTGTGTGTGTGTATCCTGCTCATTTTCTTTCTCTGGAGAACTCAGACTAATGTAGTAATATATGCCACTTGCCAGTCTTTGTCTCCATGCTTTTAAAAGGTATAAACTAAATAAATAAAACAAAACCCTGGAGGGTTCTCAAAGAAGAACAGCAAAGGAAATGAATTCTGGCAGATTTTGCACTGAGGACATTCAGGTGTGAGGAAAACATGAAAACCACTATGCTAGGGAAAGCAAATGCTGTTGAGAATGTCTCAAAAACACACATTACACGTCAATAGGTAGGGTTGACCTTCAGGTTAGAAACATTTTCCTTTAAGTGCACTTTTTGTGCAACTTAAGATGAATCTAGGACTTTCATGATGGATGTATCTCTGTGTGTGTGTGTGTGTGTATACATATGTACATATACATATGTATAGTGTGTGTGTATGTATGTGTATATATATATTTTATATATATATATAGAGAGAGAGAGAGACAGAGAGAGTGTGTCTTGCTATCTTCTCCAGCCTGGTCTCCAGAGCTGGACCTCAATCGATCCTCCCCCGACCCCCTCCCAAAGTGCTCAGATTACAGGCGTGAGTCATTTCCCCTAGCCCATTTTCATATTTTTAATTTAGTTCAACCATTGTGTAAGACAGTGTGGCGATTCATCAAGGATCTAGAACCAGAAATATTTGACCCAGCAATCCTATTACTGGATATATACTCAAAGGATTATAAATCATTCTACTATAAAGACACATGCACACGTATGTTTATTGCAGCATTATTCACAGTAGCAAAGGCTTGGAACAAACTCACATGCCCATTGATGGTAGACTGGATAAAGAAAACGTGTCACTCATACACCATGGAATACTATGCAGCCATTAAAAAGGAGTTCATGTTCTTTGCAGGGACATGGATAAAACTGGAAACCATCATTCTCAGCAAATTAACACAGGAACAGAAAACCAAACACCACATGTTCTCACTCATAAATGGGAGTTGAAAATGAGAACACATGGAAACAGGGAGGGGAACATCACACACCAGGACCTCTCAGGGCTAGAGGGCAAGGAGAAGGATTGCATTATGAGAAATACCTAATGTAGACGACGGGTTGATGGGTGCAGCAAACCACCATGGCACATGTATACCTATGTAACAAACCTGCACGTTCTGCACATGTATCCCAGAACTTAAAGTATAATATAATTTTTTTAAAAAAATTTAAATACACATTTCAAAAATTATATAACAAGTACAGGAAACCTCCTTTATGCCAGTTTTACAAAAACAGAAAAGATGATATATCAATGACAAGGCATCAAAGGGCAATATCCTAAAGTAGTGAGAGGAAAAATACTTATTCTGGAATTCTATCCCACAATGAAAAATCTTTCAAAAATGTGACTGGAATAAGGACACTCAAAGATATACAAAAAAAATGAGGCCAAGCGTGGTGGCTCATGCCTGTAATCTCAGCACTTTGGGAAGCTGAGGCAGGTGGATCACTTGAGGACAGGGAGTTGGGAGACCAGCCTGGCCAACATGGCAAAACCCTGTCTCTACTAAAAATACAAAAATTAGCCAGGCGTGGTGGCACATGCCTGTGATCCCAGCTACTCAGGAGGCTGAGGCATGAGAATCACTTGTGCCCAGGAGATGGAGGTTGGAGTGAGCAAAGATCATGCCACTGTACTCCAGCCTGTGTAACAGAGCGAGACTCCATCTCAACAAAATACAAATAAAAATAAAGACATACAAATAAATGAAAGCATTGACCAACCCACACTACAAGAAATGTTAAGGGAGTCCTCCAGGCCTAAGGATGAGGATACCAGACAGAAATCTGAACCTACACAAAGAAATGGAGATGACTAAAAATCGCTATGTACATACTCAGATGTTGGGGTTTATACCATGTCTTAAATCAAATGACATGACAACACTAGCATAAAGGCCAGAAGGGGAAGTATAATGTCACTCGATGGCAGACTGATAAAGATGTATTCTAGGAACCCTAAAGCCATCACTGACTTAACAAAAGAAAGAATTACAGCTAATAAGCCAAAAAAGGAAGAAAATGGAATGATATAAAAAACCATGTAATCACTACGCTGGAACAACTGCTCTCCAGGCCTCTACCCTATAGAGATACACCAGTGGCCAATGAGAAATGTACAAGAATGACGACTGCAGCATTGTTTGTAATCATAAAGTAATAGAACCAACATAATTTCAAAGATACATGAAAAGAGTTTTATTTATTTAACAAACACAAACAATTGAACAAACAAACAATGGAAGCAAGTCCTTCTGTTAAAAGGAACACAGAGGGTCATGATGATGCTACTCCTCCAAGGATTTCACGGTTCCCAGATGCCTAGTTTTTCTGTCTCATTCTTCTGGAAGATCTTATTCTTGGGGGAGGTACACGTTCTCGCGTTTGGGGCTCTTTCAGGTTCATCTCCATTTTCCCTTCAATTTCTCCCCATTCTGTCACAATAAAAAAACAATTCTCACCTCCAGAAGATCCCGCCTGTGCCTCCGCACGAGCCTTTCAGGAGGTCTGGATGTCTGGTCCACCGCTCCCCAGCTTCTTCCCCTGCTTTTGCTTTTCCCTTCCCCAGCTCTCGCCCTCCCGCCCCACCACCTACCACCGCCCGACCACCGCCCAGCTGAGCCCCCGCGGTTCCACCGCGCAGAAGGTACACTGGAGGCTCTGCCCGTTGCCCGCCCCGGGGGATGCCGAGAAATCAACCTGAATAAACGCCTTGTACAAAGAACTTTCTAATGGAAAAATCTCTTATGATTTCCATTCTCAAGGCTCTTCAAAGGACTAAACGATAAAGGCGACGATGGATTCATTCAACAAGTCCTAATCGTGTGCCCTGGTGAGCGCCAGACCCTGCTCCCCGCGAGGGGATCCACGAGCCACCCTCACCACCATCGCTGCCCTGGTGGAGCCCCCGTGCGGGACACAAGATCCAAAGATGGCAGCGGCAGCTCCGCAGCGGCCCCGAAAGCGACTGGGCCGGATGGGCACAGGCTCCCTCACTGGGCGAAGGCGGCGCAAAGAACCGGAAGAGCCATCCTGGGAGCCCACTGGGCGTTCAGGTTACCTTAGGCCCCCTGGCGGCTCCGGCCCGGGCCGCGGACCAGGGCGTTTCCGGGGGCTTCTGAAGCGGGCGAGGGGCAGGGCGGGAGAAGGCCATTCGGCTGTCCTTCTGGCTCCAGAATCTCCCAACGCGCAGGTGTCCAACGTGACCAGCGCGACTCACTGCTCTAATCGCTCCGGTTTTCCAAGACCTTGGTCGGTAGTCCTGCCAGGCGGGCCCTGAGGCTGGAAGGGATCGGGGAGTATGGTGAGTGCGCCCTGCCTATAGCGCCCAGTGGAATCACTAGTACCTGTCTCTGCGGCGCAATCTGTTAGCACGTTCGGCTATTAACCAAACGGTGGGTAGTTCAAGCCCACCCAGGGACGCCTGCTCTAGCTTTTAAAGAGCTCATGTATTATCATCACTAGAGAATCTCCCCCTATTCTTCCCATAGTCCTAAGTCCGAAAGGTTGGTTCCAAGCCAGCCAGGGATATGCCCATTTCAGGAAGGGTTTTCTCTTCTCAGGATTCTAGTCACAGTTAACAGGGATTCCTGTGAAGGGCCACCCCACTCAGAGATACAATTCTGACAGAACGTCTCCTGAAATGTCAGGTTGTCTTGTGCCTGTGTGCAAGAATCAGAGACCAAACAAGTCACTTCTGGTGCGATAAAATCCTCATGCTGCCCCTTATAGGTCTGGATGGGTTATAGAGGAACCTCATTCTTTTCATTTTTAATAGGAGGCCTAGAAAGGTGTCCTATCCCCAGGATGGGCCTGGATTTAGTGATTGCTCTATCAATAATGTGACCAGTGGAATCATTCATCATCATAATAATCCTCTCCATTATTTTTGAAAACAGTATTTTTCCCTCAGTTTGTGCATGATTTACTTACCCCTTTTCAAAATATGTTTGAAATGAGGTTGGCTTCATGATTTTAGGATTACAAAGAATCCTGAAATCATCATTCTTGTATATATATCTTTGACCTCTGATATTTCTATAGTGTAGAGAACTGAATGTGCCACTGCTATATTATAGGCTTTTTAATTTTTAGTTTTGGTTTTTGTGACAGGGTCTCATTCTGTCTCTCAGGCTGGAGCACAGTGACCCAATCGCGTCTCATTGCAGCCTCGTCTTCTCAGGCTCAAGCGATCCTCCCATCTCTCAGCCTTCCCAGTAGCTGGGACTACAGGTGCGGGCCATCACGCCCTGATAAATTTTTTATGTTCTGTAGACAGGGGGTTTCACCATGTCGCACAGGCTGGTCTCCAAACTCCTGGGCTCCAGTAGCTCCGAGGACTCCCAAAGTGCTAGGATTTACAGGCATGAGCCACTGCAATGGGCCTTATATAATGCCTCTAACTTCAGCACATTGAGCACATTTATCTTCTGTGGGAAAGGCACCAAATCATATTCCAATTTATTTCTCAACACAAATACTGTCCCTTTCTTCATTTACTTGCTAGCACAACAAACTGTTCACACGCCCCCCCAACTTTATTTTAGACTAGGTCTCACTCTGTCACCCAGGATGGAGTGCAGTGGTGTGATCTCAGCTTGCTGCAACCTCCATCCCCTGGGCTCTAGTGATCCTCCCACCTCAGCCTCCAGAGTAACTCTTTTTTTCTTTTTCTTTTTTTAGAGATAGGGTCTTGCTATGTTGCCCAGGCTGTTATCCAACTCCTGAGCTCAAGTGATCCTCCTATCTCAGTATCCCGAAGTTCTGTGCGAGATTACCAGCATGCCACCGTGGTCAGCCCTGTTTCTTTTTAAAATGTATTTATTTTGAGACAGGGCCTCACTCTGTCACCCAGGCTGGAGTGCAGTGGCAAGATGACAGCTCACTGTAGCCTCAGCCTTCCTGGGCTTAGGTGATCCTCCCACCTCAGTCTCCTGAGTAGCTGGGACTACCAGCATACACCAACATGCCTGGCTAATTTTTGTATTTTTTTGTAGAGATGGTGTTTCATCACATTGACCAGGCTGCTCTCCAACTGAGCTCAAACAATACTCCTGCCTCAGCCTCCTAAAGTGCTGGTATTACAGTCATGAGTCACTGTGCCCGGCTTGTCATTGTTTCCTGTGGTGACCAAGTCACATAGGTCCAGAGAAGACAGGTCACAGTGACCTCTTTGATAGCTTTCTGCCAAGTCGCTTATCTGAAGAAAGCAAAATCACAATGGTCCCAGGCATTTTTTTTTCTCCTCCTCTTTCCTCTTTTCTTTATAAATCTTGATTTTACTTTTATTCGCTGAAAACAATCTAATGCCAGTTCTTCCTTCTATAGTAATGGAGAATGAGCATGCAGATAAGTGTCTCTATATTATTCCTCAACTGATTTCTTTCAGAGACTATGTCCATAAAAATTAGTCTATCTGAGACCCATCATTGGAGCCAACAGAATCCTGCACCTAACAGGCCCCTGGTGCAGACCTGGATCCTTAGAGCTATTGGCTCTTGTTCCCTCAGTTCTTCTGTTTTCATGAGCAGAAACTGAGCTCTTTTGCTTTTAAATACTAAGTATGGTCATTGGACAAGTCCTTTCTCTCTCTGTTTCTCTCTCTGTTTCTCTCTCTCTCTCTCTCTCTCTGTCTCTCGTTTGCATCGTTATTTTCTTCCATCAATGGCATCAGTGTAGGTTTCTGGTAAATGTTATGGAATGAATTTCTCGGGACAATCTCTGTTGGGTGGTGTTTGGCAAGAATCCAGTCCCTGTTTGGTGATACCTGACAGCTAATCTAGCCTGTGAGTCTTTTTTGATTGTTTATTCATTGTCCTGAGGATAATGGTATTTCCTGATATTTGAGACTGCAGTAATCAGAAGTTGCTCATATCCTGTCTTTCCAATGTTTGGTAAAAATTTTATGGGCCCAATAGCTGTCAATATCTGTAAGAGTGGCATCTCTATTATAAAGATGATCTTACTACTCAATGCCCCTCACCCCCAACCGAATTTCATTCCATAGGAGCTCTTGGCCTTAACAAATTACTAACCCTGAAGGAGATCTTAACACGGGAAGAAAACTGAATCTGCAGCATGTAAGGAACAGCTTTCTTTGATTTGTATATTCGGGTTTCTAACTAGCTGAAAAATTCAAATATATGCCCTTTAAGGATTAAGTTTAAATCACACCACAGAAAGGAGAAAAAAGAGAGACATGATCAAAAGTAAGCAATGGAATCAGCAATTTGAGCACTTCTCACAACTGTACAAATCAAATTCAACAACCTCTAGAACAGTAAGGAAGTTCAGCCCTTAATGAAAATGAACAAAAAGAAATTATTCACCAGACTCAAAAGGGTATCACAGAGTTACTCAGATTTTCAGCAGTGGGGGTTTTCCAAGGATCTAATGAAGTTCATTTTTCAGTTTGTTTCCCTCACTGATAGGCATTGTTAATAGATACCATTGCCTCTGGTTTCACCTTAAATGATGTTACATAACCAAATTATTTGCTTTCGAATGCCTGCTAGTTTGGTGGAAGGAATTTTTGTAATGTATAAATATATTTTCTTGTGAAACTAATTGGCATAGTCTTTCAGTGGAGTGAATAAATTCTCTAAAACTTTAAAGAAATTACTTCTGATTATCTTAAGCACAGTAATAATTACATATATAAAATTAAAATAAGAAAATTAGGGCGGGTGCGGTGGCTCAAGCCTGTAATCCCAGCACTTTGGGAGGCCGAGACGGGTGGATCATGAGGTCAAGAGATCGAGACTATCCTGGCTAACACAGTAAAGCCCCGTCTCTACTAAAAATACAAAAAAATTAGGCAGGTGTGGTGGCGGGCTCCTGTAGTCCCAGCTACTCGGGAGGCTGAGGCAGGAGAATGGCGTGAACCCAGGAGGCGGAGCTTGCAGTGAGCCGAGATCGCGCCACTGCACCCCAGCCTGGGCGACAGAGCCAGACTCCGTCTCAAAAGAAAAAAAAAAAAGAAAATTAAGCGGAGTGTGGTGGCTCACACCTGTATTCTCAGCACTTTAGGCAGCTGAGGAGGGAAAATCACTTGAGGCCTGGAGTTCCATACCAGCCTGAGCAACATAGTGAGACTCCTGTCTCTACAAATTTTTAAAAATTAGCTAATTAGGCCAAGCACAGTGGCTCATGCCTGTAATCCCAGCACTTTGGATCACCTGAGGTCAGGGATTCAAAACTAGCCCGGCCAACATGGTGAAACTCCGTCTCTACTAAAAATACAAAATTAGCTGGGTCTGGTGGTGCATGCCTGTAATCCCAGCTACTTGGGAGGCTGAGGCAGGAGAATCACTTGAAGCTGGGAGGTGGAGGTTGCAGTTAGCCAAGATCGCATCAATGTACTTTAGCCTGGGCAACAAGAGTGAAATTCAGGCTTAATAATAATGATAATAATAATAACGCAGGGATGTAAAGGTCCCTTTCCAAAACTAACCCCTGAGGAGCTAAGGGATATGTGCACACAAGTAACCATGTTCTGTTCAGGTGACCTGACCAAGGAGAAAGAAGGTTCAAAATCCCCTTGGGCCCTCACTGCCGCCCAGATGTCTGGGAGTGTCAGCCACCTCTTAACCTCAATCCCCTGCTTCTTTCTCCTTTCCGTAATATACAAGAAGCCAGAAATTTTTATTAACTTGAGATGTTTCTTTAGGACATTAGTTCACCATCTTCGTGGTTTGCTAGCTTTCTGAAATAAAGTCACCTTCCCTGCCCCAATACCTTGTGTCTCCTGATTTCTTGGCTGTCATGCAGCAAGCAGGGTGAGCTTTGGACTCAGTTACTAATTCAGTAGGTAATATCTTTAAAAGGAGATAATTCTAGAAACTAAGAGACTGAATTATTCCACTTACAATTTCTTCATAAATATATTTAGATATCATCTAATACAAGATGCCATCATCCTCTATTAAATGTCAGCTCAATGTATAATTTCAAGATCTATAGTTAATTTTAAAATCCATGACTAATACTAATGATTATATAGAGTTAATAATGGAGTTAATAAATAATTTTGATAATAATAGAGATAATAAATAATAAATAATTTTGATTGCTTTAAGATTAGTTTATAGATAATAAATACTTTTGATTGCCTTAAGATTCTCTCTCTATATTACTTTGCTTGGAGAACGGTGTTGCTTATTGGGTTCACAACATATGTGTGTGTGTGTGTGTGTGTATATATATATATATATATATATATATATATATGAATTTCTTTTTCTTTTTCTGAGACATAGTCTCACTCTGTCACCAAGGCTGGAGTGCAGTGGTACAATGATGCTC